AAATTGAAAACCCCTTCAGCATGACTGCAATAAAATGTCAGCAACACAGATGTGTTCGAAAATGTGCATGCCAAATGTCAAAATACTCTTGTCGGAACTTTTGAAGGCGCGGTACAGCGGAGCTTCAAGTAGCGATCATTGACCACAACAACTTAGTAGGGGAGACCAGGGCAGAACGGGGCCACGGGGCAGAACTTCGTCTGCAATGCGTTGCGATCTATCGGGATCGGATGAAATACCATTAGCATACAGCAAGGGGTCATGTCATGTCAGTCAGCGCCATTTTGTGGTTACAGTTTTTGAAATAATCACCCATGCTGGATTTTGGTCCTACATTTTACAAATTTTTGAACATTTTGTCCATACCAAATCTGATCGAAGACGTGACGTATTTTTTGCTCTCAGACTCCACTGATTGCTGTAATATTATTTCTTCCGTTCCATATATCGCTCCAGTGCGCACCACAAATAGGCTTAACACTTGCTGTATTATTTAATTAGTTTTACGCCGACTAACTGCTTTCAGTAAGAGTCTTTGACAAGCTAATGGTAGCTCATATAGTAAAAATATCTCCTGTCTTTTTATGGAAGCTGAAGATTTATTAACGTATTTTCATGACCCAGCCCCTGGATCTTATCCTGGGACTCATGAAGTTCACAACCTCACACCATATTTCTTTGAGATATACTGTAGTAGTATCCTGCTGTATATGCCTAATATTTCACATATTGCAACCGCCTTGGTTTGGTCACCCCAAACATATTTGATAAAGAGTAGAAATAGTCATCAATTTTGAATGATGATGATGATTATGATAACATTTACCAAACACAGGTTGAGTGGTTGGCATTCTGTGTCTGGAAACCCTGGGGTAAAGTGATGTTCCTTACTCGTCGAGACAAATTCTGGCATGCTCCCACAACTCTTTAAAGTCCATTGGGAATTACGTTTCACTTGCTTTGACAATAAATGTTTCTTCATTTTGTTATTTGTTAATTTTCTGTGATTCAGAGTATAAACAGGAATTATTTTCTTAAACAGAATTTACTAGATGATCTATACAATTGCGACATTTATATATTTTTTGGAGGGGGAGGGGTGTGCACTTTGAATCTTTAAATAAAAATTAGACAAACTTGCGCCGCATGATGTATACTGTTATAAAGCATCATCACACAGCGCGAGAATGAACATCCGAACTTTTCGTTTCCTGCTGGACATCTGGTATTGCTTCTGCCAGTTGAAGAGCGCGTGTCGTGTCATACGACTGCTTCATGTTGAATCGCTGGCGTCGGCGCCACAGTAGCGGCAGATCGCAGTAGGTTGTCGTGTCGTGTCGTGTCAATCTGATATGTGGATTCTGACTGTGTTGCTGGTTACTACTACCACAGCCATCGACAGCGAATATGGAAACAACGTTACTTCGTGGTACAAATGTTGCGAGCCTACCTCCAACTTCAGGGAAAACCTGGACACTGGTGTTCTGGGGTTCGACATGGATGTCTCACCGCTCCAGGTTCAAGGCTCCGGTGTGCAGGTGAGGCACGGATTTCCAGCGTCTTGTAATAAAACTTTGATTTTACTGAAAGAGTCCACTTTCCTGCCAGTCTCCCCTTATTGTACTGACAAGGTGGAGATAAGATATGAGAACGTCGATTCAGCCTCAGTGGTAAGATACGTGTGTTATGATGAAGATTCTGAAAGAAGTATAAATCCACCGACTTCGGTAACGGTAAGGAAATGCTGTTTGAATGGAACGTATGATCCAGCTGCTCATATTTGCATAGACGTTATCGATGGACAAAATATGCTGGAAAAACTTTCTTTTCAAGACACTGTGTGTTTAGTGAATGTGGAGTTTGGTTTGTCAGAGTGTCATTCCAACCAGGCTCTGGTGAATACTGTGGTTGATAGTGGACAGATAATACTGTTGAAAAATGGCACTGTTCTTGTGAACACAAGCTATGAAATACTGATTCTGGAAGAGAACGTGTTCTGTATCGACAATATTGTCAATAGAAGCAATTCTGTTATGATCAAGTTTTGTCAAAGCGTCGACACAGCCTGCAAACAAAACCCATGTGTTCAGAAATGCTGCCCTGATGGTTACGGCATGATAGAGTCTAAATCTTGCACACCTTCCGATTTTGATTTCAACCCGCAGTTTTATAATATAGTGTCTACTAACGGCGGATTTGAACTCGTAGAAGCAATTGTCCCTTCCTTCGCTATTCTATCGAACTTGGAGTGCGATAAATTCATACTTCGACCAGAGTCTACAGAAGGCGATTTTTCGTATTTGGAAGTAGATGGAAGGCTTTACGTTCCAAAGCACTCAGACCCTCATCTAACAGCTGACAAGTATTGTCTTGAGAAGGTCATTTTTCCAGAAGACGAGATGGATGGTATCTACACTTTCCTCTGTTTCCCGGAAGATTACATGGTCGAAGACACTTCTCTTCAGTTTACCCTCTGCTCTTTGGGACTTATTATATCGAGTGTTTTCCTTTTAGCCACATTTTTGGTATACGCCTGTTTACCCAGTCTTCAGAATCTCCACGGAAAGACTCTCATGTGCCACGTGGTCAGTCTGTTTGCAGCCTATGTGTGTCTCAGTGTGGCACAGCTTAGCGGCGAGGATTTGGACCTGTTCATCTGCGCCGCGGTGGGTGAGTTATATCTCAAGTTAACCGTCATGTAAATTCTTGTGCAATGAAATAAATAGATGCAGCAAATATCAGGGAATATATTCTCTAGTTAATGTGTTCTGTGGATTACCATATTATATTTTATGTTTAAGATTCTGTCACGGGTAACAATCTCACGAATCGAACGTCATAAACCACGATTTGGTAGGTCAATTTCTTCGCAGAAGTTTCTTGCATCTGAGTAGCTAGCAGAAAACCGATTTTGGAAACATAAATCGAAGGTTAAACTCCGATACACCACAGACCGCCACTGAACACAATATAACGCCAGTTTAGTTCTAATTAGCATGTCTAATATTTATTTTAATGGCTTCTACATCTTCGAGAGACATCTCCAACAAAATTGTTGATGAATTTATGCCCTCCCTTATTTTCTGCATTTTCATCCCTTCGTATCCTTCTAGTTTTTAATACCCTAACAGTACGAAGCGATGTGTGTAAATTATGAAATTCCCACACCCATGTTTCTTAGGTTTTCTCATTTGCCTCACAATCTGCAATTTTTGTCTCCCCTCGAAACAGGATAATACGCAACCATACAATGCTAGTGAACTGGCGATTTTCTGTATCTTAATCTGTGGTTGGGCGTATATTCTTCAGCAGCTTGAAGAGAAATATTGTGTGAAATAATATAACATGTAATGCGATATAGTGTTACTTAGTTTTTTAAAACCTTTCAAACGTAAACATATTTGAAACGTGGAAAAGAATGCCAATGGCGGTGGAGCCAGTCGCGAGGCCCCTTAACAGAAAATAAATATAAGCTAATTTAGGTAACATATTTTGTTATAATTTTAATGATTTGAGAACCGCGTCTCTAAAACTAACGCACACGATATGCAAGTCTTCCATCATAAATTTTTGTTACCTATACGTACATCGTAATTTATTTTCAAAAATTTTAGAAGTGACGTTGTAGAGTCTATCGTTCTAAATCTGAATTTTGTTTATTAAATGCACTAGATTAAAATTTTCTTCCTAATTTACAATCCCCGCTTAACTCCCGACATTGCACCGAAACAAAAAATTTGACCATTTCCTTTAATTGTTATCTCTGCTTTCACAACTCAAAAGCGACTGACTTACCTTCCCCGCCACTTTTTTGGTTCCACAACATTCACAATGTATTTAAATTAAAATTACCATTCGTCTCCAGAGAAATGAAACTAATATAAATAACAGGAACATACGAACCCGAATAAAAATACTATTGGGTAAACACAAAGAAGTACATTTATATCATTGTTGATGGAGACTAATACAAAATGCGAACGGTAGCCAGTTACTCAGAAACAATAAGAGAAGGAATGGTAATTTGACAGAATCGCACAAAATAAATCTACAGTCAGCAACAACATTTTATGGAAGCAATTTAACATATTTTGTTTACTCTATGCAGTATTTTATTAAAAATATCAACTTTGTCTTCAATGAAGTCGGTGTCAGATAAAAGCGCATTTATAAGGCAAACTGCAGGAACAATATAAGAAGAAAATGTAGTTCCGATTTATGGAAGTACAGAGTGAGGCAGGCACTCGAAACAGTCCACAGCCCACTTCGCCCATTCCCTTCCCTGCCCGTATAGAAAGATAATCAATTCGATTATATAGCTGGCAATTTATGTAGCTAGGCTGTGCAATAAACAACGCGACGAAATAGCTCTGAGGGTAGCCCTCAACGTCCTTTAATGTGTGTCCCTGTGACTTTTACCGCATACGAAAATAATCCTCAGTTACAGAAGCTTTGGGACAGTACATCAACTATGTAGGATTAGAGGTTTTCACGGCGGTGAGTCTGAAGATGGCTGCCTTCTGGGTTGTTGCACCGCGTAGTCCGGTAAAAAATACCGACGCTTTAGAGATCCTTGCTGCTGATAATGGAGGCAGCAGACTACGCGGTGCAACAACCCAAAAGACAGCCATCTGTTGTAAATCGGTTTTTGTAAACTTCAGGAAAACCTATAACTCACTTTACAATGTTTCGCTTGAATGTGGTGTACCTAAGAAGCTAGTCAGACTAATTAAAACGTGTTTAAGTGAATCTTCTAGCAAAATTCTTGCAGGTAAACATTTTTCCGATACAGTTCCTATTCAGAATAGCCTGAAACATTGAGATGATCTATCGCCACTGCTTTTCAATTCTGCCCTAGAATCTATAATGAGGAAAGACCAAGAAAATCAGGGCGGTTTGGAATTGAATGGAAAATACCAGTTTTGGTCTATGCTGACGATTTTAATCTGTTGGGCGATAATACAAAAGCGAACATAGAAACACTCTTAAGGGCTAAAAGGGATATTGGTCTAGTAATAAATGCAGAAAATGAACCGGGATAGCTCAGTCAGTATAGTGACTAGCTACGGGCTGGACGACCGGGGTTCGATCCCCGACGGGGGCAGAGGATTTTTCCTCTAGCCTCTGCGTCCAGACCGGCTCTGGGGCCCACCCAGCATCTACAATGGGTACCGGGGTCCTTTCCCGGGGGTAAAGCCTGCCGGGGCGTGATGCTGACCACTCACCTCCATCTAGTGCCGAGGTCAAGGAAGAGAGGAGCTATACCTCCACTCCCCCCCAAACGCCTACATGGCGTATAGTGGGACAAACTTTACTTTTACTTTTTAATAAATGCAGAAAGGACTAAGTACGATACACATACGTTCATGTCTCGGTATCAGAATTCAGAACTTAACCAGAATATAAGGATGGCTAATACATCATTCGAAAATGTGACAAAATTAAAGTGTTTGGGGACGACAGTGAGAAGTCAGAATGACATTCCTGACGAGGAAAAGCAGATTAAATTCAGGGAATGTTTGCAATCATTCAGTTCAAAATCTTTTGTCCTCCCGTGCAATATAAAAAACAAAATGTAATTTTTCCAGTTGTGCTGTATGGGTGCGAAACTTGGTCTCTCACCTCGAGGGAGTAACGTAGATTGAAGGTCATTGAGAACGTAGTGTTGAGGAGGATATTTGGATCTAAGAGGGAGGAAGACATCATGGAGAAAATAGCATAATGATGAGCTTCACGGCCTGTACATCTCACGTGATATTGTTAGGGTGATTAAATCGAGGAGGTAGAGGTGGTCGAGACATGCGGTACGCATGGAGGGAGGGGAAGGTGTTTACACGGTAATTGTTGGTAGGCCTGAAGGAAGGAGGTCGCTGGGAACACCAAGGCGTAGTTGGGAGGATAACGTTAAGAACGATCTTAGGAGATAGGAATCGATTGAGCGAACTGAATGCAGCTAGTTCAGGATAGAATCCGATGGAGTGTTTTTGTGAACACGGTGATGAACCGTCTGGTTCAATAAAGAAAGTGGGCTATTCATTGACAAGCCGAGCGTGCAATCGACTTTTCAAAGAATATTATGCACCATAGAGTGAGTGAGTTACCGACGTTTGTATGATGACTACGTTAAACTACGTCATACGAACTTTACTTTTAACTAATAAATTGTTAAGCGAATGTTACATTCACTGCACGATGTAAATATGTAAAACTAATAGACAATACCGTAATGAATACAATTTCAATCTGACAAGCCACGTGATAGGTTTGCATTAAGGTTTTCTTCTTGGTGGATGTTACGTATGGATCATAGGCTATTTAACGACGCTGCTGTAGACATAGCCCGTGTTAATACGTTGTCCAAGACTAACTAATCGGAATGATACAAGTTGACACTTATTCACCTGTTTCTCGTGTGTGCGTGGGACGCTTCGTGACTAAAATTGTGTCCAATGTTGTCTAGCCTCCAACCAGTGTGGGTCCAGCCTAAGCGAAGCTTTATGTTATTTCTGATAACAAGGAAGGATTCAGGTGGAATCATTCTCGTCGGTTTGCTAAGATATTCTTCAGGTATCAACCTGGAGAAACCGAGGAAACTCACGAAAACTTCAGCCAAGTTAACAGCGGTGTAACATTTAATAGTCTGATTGAGTCCCGTCCCAAAAATAAGCTAACCTGTAATATAATTTAATCTCTAGCGGGTCTGTTCAAAGGTATCTCAGCTCCTTCTGCAGTACACCGAAAGACGAAGTGTTTACTGTTAGGGCAGATGAACTCGTCGAGTTGGACCACAATGTTTGTAGTATGCCCTTATTTAGCGACACTGGAGTAGACATGTCGGCAACTTTAGAGGTGTAGAATTTGAGGTTTTCACGGCGGTGAGTCTGAAGATGGGAAGAGGGCTGTCTTCTGGGTTGTTGCGCCGTGTAGTCTGGTATAAGTTTACCGACGTTTCAGAGGTCTTTGATGCATCCATCATCAGGACAATCGTCGGCAAAATTCTACCAAACTACACGGCGGAAGAACCCAGAAGACAAGCATCTTCAACTTTAGAGGTGTGGCCACTTCGCTACTCATTTACTGAGACAGTTTAGCGACTTTACTGATTGTAGTTGTGTTTCTAGCAGGTAGTGGTCCTGCGTCACGTGTTTTACCCCAGCAGTATCTAACACCTTTAAGAAACCAACTATCATGTAGGCTTGAGAAACTTGGTCTCTCACTCAAAGAGAAGAACATATATCGAAGGCATTTCGCAATAGGGTGAATGGTACTGAGCACTTCAATAGGATGATCAAAGAAGAGATGATAGTGTGTACACAGCATTGGACGTTAAACCTAAATAGGGAAATAACTTGTAAAATCTTGGCTTAGTTGGAGTGATTCATTTTTGTTGTTGCTAAGCAGGGAGATATCTGTGTGGAACAGAAACCCTAGCAGGCTCATTGTGCTGCCCCTACATGATACGTGAGTGATTACTTATGTAGTAGCTATGAAATGATATTGACAAGGAAAAGCGAATGTCTTTGTGAAAGACCTGTACCATTGCCACTATCCGCCACAAATCTCTTAGGGGTTGATCTAGAAGCGAACCTGGATTTCTGCCATGAAATCCGGCGAGTAACCGTCTGAGCTGGCACGGCCTAGTTTGGCAGGATCATGGATTGGTCTGGATA